GGAATATATATATATACACGCACAGCTTCTTTATCCATTGATCTGTTGATGGACACTTAGGTTGCTTCATACTTTGGCAATTGCAAATAACATTGCTATGAACATTGAGATGCATGTATCTTTTTGAATTAGTGCTTTTGTTTATGTTTTGGATATATACCCAGGAGTGGTATTGCTGGGTCATATGGTAGTTCTGTTTGTAGTTTTGTGAGAAACCCCCACGCAGTTCTCCACAGTGGCTGTATCAATTGACATTCCCACCAGCAGTGTAGGAGGGTTCCCTTTTCTCCACAGCCTCGCTAGCATTTATTTGTGTTCTTTTCGATGATAGCCATTCTGACAAGTGAGGTATCTCACTGTGGTTTTGATTTGCATTTTTCCCTGATGATTAGTGGTGTTGAGCATCTTTGGCCATCTGCATTTCCTCAATGACTATTGAGTTCTTCTGCCCATTTTAAATTTAAATTTTTAAATCAGGTTGGTTGTTTTTTTGATGTTCTGTGAGCTGTTTATATATGTTGGAAATTAATCCCTTATCTGTCTTATCATTTGCAAATATCTTCTCCCATTCAGTAGGCTGTCTTTTTGTCTTGTCGATGCTTTCCTTTATGCTTTGCCAAAGCCTAAATCATCTCTTTAACCAAGTCATCACAGCCCTGAAAAGTGAAAAAATAGAGTGGTGAAGTGACTTGAATGAAGCCAGTAAGTGGCTTTAAATTAGGTCCATTGGAAATCAAGTTTAGTGTTCTTTCCCAAGAGAGCAAAAGCAAATTTTAATTTAGTAAGGAAATCTAACAGCTTGCTTTCTAGCTTGCATTTCAGAAACAGACCTTAAGAGTTTGAATCATTGCAGAGACATTGATTTCAGAGGGTCAGATGTTTGTTTGTTTTTAACATCTTTATTGGAGTTTAATTGCTTTACAATGGCGTGTTAGTTTCTGCTTTATAAAAAAGTGAATCAGCTATATGTATACATATATCCCCATATCCCCTCCCTCTTGCCTCTCCCTCCCCCCCTCCCTATCCCACCCCTCCAGGCGGTCACACAGCACCGAGCTGATCTCCCCGTGCTCTGCAGCTGCTTCCCACTAGCTATCTATTTTACATTTCGTAGTGTATATATGTCCATGCCACTCTCTCACTTTGTCCCAGCTTCCCCTTCCCCCTCCCCGTGTCCTCAAGTCCATTCTCTACGTCTGCGTCTTTATTCCTGTCCTGCCCCTAGGTTCATCAGAACCACTTTTTTGTTTTTGTTTTTGTTTTTTTAGATGCCATATATATGTGTTAACATACGGTATTTGTTTTTCTCTTTCTGACTTACTTCACTCTGTATGACAGACTCTAGGTCCTTCCACCTCACTACAAATAACTCAGTTTCGTTTCTTTGTATGGCTGAGTAATATTCCATTGTATATATGTGCCACATCTTCTTTATCCATTCATCTGTCGACGGACACTTAGGTTGCTTCCATGTCCTGGCTATTGTAAACAGAGCTACAATGAACACTGTGGTACATGACTCTTTTTGAATGATGGTTTTCTCAGGGTATATGCCCAGTAGTGGGACTGCTGGGTCATATGGTAGTTCTATTTTTACTTTTTTAAGGAACCTCCATACTGTTCTCCGTGGTGGCTGTATCAATTTACATTCCCACCAACAGTGCAAGAGGGTTCCCTTTTCTCCACACCCTCTCCAGCATTTATTGTTTGTAGATTTTTTGATGATTGCCCTTCTAACCAGTGTGAGATGATATCCCATTGCAGTTGTGATTTGCATTTCTCTAATGATTAGTGATGTTGAGCATCCTTTCATGTGTTTCTTGGCAATCTGCATATCTTCTTTGGAAAAATGTCTGTTTAGGTCTTCTGCCCATTTTTTGCATCAGGTTGTTTGTTTTTTTGATATTGAGCTCTATGAGCTGCTTGTAAATTTTGGAGATGAATCCTTTGTCAGTTGCTTCATTTGCAAATATTTTCTCCCATTCTGAGGGTTGTCTTTTCATCTTGTTTATGGCTTCCTTTACTGGGCAAAAGCTTTTAAGTTTCATTAAGTCCCATTTGTTTATTTTTGTTTTTATTTCCATTTCTCTAGGAGGTGGGTCAAAAAGATCTTGCTGAGATTTATGTCATAGAGTGCTCTGCCTATGTTTTCCTCTAAGAGTTTGATAGTGTCCGGCCTCACATTTAGGTCTTTAATCCATTTTGAGTTTATTTTTGTGTATGGTGTTATGGAGTGATCTAATAACTTCATTCTTTTACATGTAGCTGTCCAGTTTTCCCAACACCATTTATTGAAGAGGCCGTCTTTTCTCCATTGTATATTCTTGCCTCCTTTCTCAAAGATAAGGTGACCATATGTGCATGGATTTATCTCTGGGTGGAGGGTCAGATGTTTAAGGAGTTTGGGATACACATACCAATTCATAGGGGTGATGTCTTGGATATTCATTTGCAAAATGAACTGTGTTTACATACCCAGATAACAAATAATAAAGATTGCCGTTTTCTGCTTTCCTTCACCCCATAGATTTTTGCATCAAGATGGCAACAGTGTGAAAAGTCAGTAACATGGAAAATGTTTCAAGTTACATTTCAGAGATTAGAAAGGGAGTTCTTACTGCCTTTTAACTTGTCTCTTATTTTTATGCTCCAATGCGGGAACCTCCCCAAATAGAGGAAAGATGCACAGGATCTTATCATTCATTTTCACCCTTTAAAAATTGTTTTGGAAAAATCAGCATGTTTGATGGTGCTGTTTAACTGTTTTACACCCTTTCCCCCCCCCCCATTTTAGATATGATATATAAATAGGAATGGATAAGCTCTTCCACATTAACTGTCCATTACATTCCATTAACTGTCCATTACATTGACCATTTTTGGATTTACTTTCATAAGTACAGTCCACACTATTTCTTTTAAAAGTATTGCCATTACTATGTCTTAGCTCATTAAGCTTGCCCACTTTCTCATTGTGCAATGAGTTCTTATTCCCTCTTCTTTATTTTTGTTACTTCCCTCATTTTTTATTTTTATTTCTTTTATAGAAAATCTAGGTTGAATATTTGCACTTGGAATGAGAAGACCCTTTTTTAAAATTAATTAATTTATTTGTTTTTGTTTATTTTTGGCTGCGTTGGGTCTTCGCTGCTGCGCGTGGGCTTTCTCTAGTTGCGGCGAGTAGGGGCTACTCTCCGTTGCAGTGCGCGGGCTTCTCATTGTGGCGGCTTCTCTTGTTGCGGAGCACGGGCACTAGGTGTGCGGGCCTCAGTAGTTGTGGCACACAGGCTCGGTAGTTGTGGCTCGAGGGCCCATCTGCTCTGCGGCACATGGGATCTTCCCGGACCGGGGCTCAAACCCGTGTCCCCTGCATCGGCAGGCGGACTCTCAACCACTGCACCACCAGGGGAGTCCCAGCTACCTCCTTTGTGTTTGACATACTTTTTGGTTCAGATACTTATTCACATCTCTCTGAGATGATCTGTAGTTCATTTGTAGCAACAGATTTTCATTATTTATGAGTGTCATTGTCAGAATCCATTTGGAAGTCTGACCGAGATAAAGCAGATTCCAACTTCTGATCTGACCACAGCAATAAAGCAATTAACCACACTGGTTAAAATGGGCTGAATCCTTGAGGGTGCTAATATTTTTACAACCAAATATTTACTGTCTTGTGCATTATGTCTGATTCATTTCCTAGAAGATTCAAGATGTTATTATTGCAAATAATTTATAACACCCTCTTTTAAAAAATGTAATGTATGTTATTTCTCATACTAGCCAATTAACTTTAAAATGTCTGTGGATATAAGAGAGGGAAGCACAAAAATGAAAACTATGAGTAATGTAAATGCTTAATATTCTTAAAAGTTTGGTATTATATGGTAGCATTTAAATCAGTCTTGGTATACTATTATTCTCTTCCTGTATTTTGATTCTAGTTGGTACCTAAATCTTAGACTCTACCATGCCAATGAGACAGGAAATGGAAGGCCCATGTGTATGCATCCTCTAAGCAAACATTTTTGTCTCTCTTCTCACCCCTAGTGTCATAAAACATAGGTGAAATTTTCAAGAATAAATACAGGATTGGAAAAGCCATTAATAACGCCAGTCATTTTAAAGTGTCACCTAATTTAAACACTTTTTGCTGTAAGTGATTGCAGTGTCATGAGTTTTATTATGCTCAGTTTATTAGTAAAAGCCTTCAGGGTTCACAGCCGTTTATTTTGCAGGGAACTTGATTTTATCATTAATTTTTAAATACATAATACTCCCGCTTTATTTCTTAGAGTGCACTTTATTTGCACAAATTGGTTTACTCTGATCAATACAGATGTTTCCAGGTGTTTATTAAAGCAAGAAATCTGGGAAGTCAGATGTCTGCACGTTTTCATGACATTACACTCCAAAAGTTAGTGTATGTTTGTACACACATGATACATGTTTATGTTGGTTGTTAAGTTTTAGGTGGGAAAATGTAATAACGACTGCCCAGGCTCCGGTTTCTAATTTTTTCTGATTATTGGGTAACTTATTCTGGAGGGCAATCTTTTCTCTTCCAAAGGAGTGACACCTGGGCGGGAAAATCCTACTGTTTGGGATGAGAGCCAGGACCCAGGAAATAATTCGGACAATGTCTATGGCTTCACAAGTCTGCTAAACACAGTTCTATCAAGGATAACTAAGCCTTTCTCTGGGTTGGGTTTTCATGGTCTGGGCCGCTTTACCTGCCGGGCTCCCTGGAGGTGTTTATACAGGGCTGAAACAGTTGACAGAGGAGCTCTGAGCCGTGGTGGGTGGCAAGTCAGAGATGGCGCTCCCTGCACCCCAGCTGGACCCACGCGACCACAGGTCATGTGGAGCTAATGCAGACACCTGGTGCTGAGAGCTGACAAGACTGGATGCTTAAGTGTTTATTTTAGGGAGATTTTGTTTAAAAAAAACTGAAACGAGACATATACTCACTAGTTGTCATCTTTTTTCCCCCTAATTAGGACAGAATTTCACCCTAAGGCAGTTAGGCGTTTGTGAACCGGAAGCCCGAAGAGGACTGGCGTGTTGTGCGGAAATGGGGCTCCCTCACAGAGGTTACTCTATCAGTGCAGGGTCAGACGCTGACACTGAGAATGAAGCAGTGATGTCCCCAGAGCATGCCATGAGACTGTGGGGCAGGGGGGTCAAGTCAGGCCGCAGCTCCTGTCTGTCAAGCCGCTCCAACTCAGCCCTCACCCTGACAGATACAGAGCACGAAAACAAGTCGGACAGTGAAAATGGTAAGTTCTTTTCTCTTTGGCTTCGTAATGTTGGCGTTCAGTGCTTCTGTCTGTTTCCGTTGACCCTGCAGGCGTGGCTTCCTTCCTTCCTCCCATCTCTCCTTCTCTTTCTTTCTTCGTATTGCGACGCTGCTAGGAGCGCCCAAGAAATGTCCTTCGTTATTGCATTTTTTTCCCCTGGGAAAAAAATCAATATTCGACGAGATCAGATTGAAAATTATGCAGGCTTTCTCTGTTGTGTTAGCTATACTTTTGAAAAACTGTTTAACCATGACAAGAAAAAAAAGAAACCCACAAAGATTGGCTTTGACTTATCTTGGACCATGTCACCTGTTATCTTCGATGGAGTAGCAAAGCAAGTGGTGGCAAAGTTTACCCCACAGCCAGCTTGTGATCAGAGATGTCTTTGTAGATTTCTCTTGGAAATATCTCAGAGAAGTTCCAGAATCTTAGAATGGTTGACTGAGCACACAGAATAGTTTATTAACAGGGCTCAGTGATTGAAGAACAAATTTGATCATGCTTTAAACTTACTCGTGGATGAGAGCAATCGAAATCTTGGTAAAGAGAAGGGAGTGTGGCCTTTGATGTGCTTTGGGGACTGGATTACTCTGCAATTATATCGATGCACAAAAACTGGATTTTAGGGTATCCGAATAGCATATACTGTGAGAAAAGTCGATATATCGGGACTCTTCCTATCACCAACGCAGAATAATAAAGAAACAGTTCATTTCTATGCAATAATAGATTTCAAAGAAAACTTAATTTTTAGTCAGTGCAGCTTCTAGGAAGAGTTGTAGCATCAGCCGCAATGCACCGGACAACAAAATGGCATTCCTCTTTCAGCATTTAATGTTAACAGCGTACTCGCTACTTTAATCTAGTTATTAATGCTGTGTGTATACGATGTGTCAAAAAAGCAGAGAGAAAATTAAAATGGGGAAACTGCATGACGTGTGAAAGGAAAGATGGTGTTTTACCGATGGTCCTTCTCATCACTTATCGAGCAAGTTTGTCAGCTGTGCTTTGTGACAGGAAAGCAGGTCCACTGTCAGCTTTTAGCCTCAGCTCAGTCACCAAACGAAGGGGTAGCTGCTGCTTCCTACTGCTTAGTACTTGTTTTCTTGCTATTCAGGGGGAAAAAAGGTCTACTTTAAACCAACTAAAACAATATCTTGTGGAGAATACTTGGGTGCATTAAACCAAAGTCAAAATCAATTAATAATAGGCACTCAATATATTCATTTTGGAAGTGTCAGTTCTTGGTGGAGGCCGGATTTATCCCAACCCAAAGCAGGAAACAAGGGCAGTTCTGTCTAACAGAATGAGTCTTAGAATCTGACTGCAGCGTTTTCCTGAGCTAATCCATTCACCTCAGTAAAACCTGTGTTTATATAAATTTTCACTGGACTCAGAAGTTTCTAACCTTAAGTACATAAGATTTGGCATCAGTTTTGCTTCCTGTCCCTCTGTATGTTTATGTAACACTCTGCAAGCAATTGTAGGCACAGTGGTTATATTCAGATGTGTTATTTGACGTTTGATTTTCCTAAAATACATGAAAATATGTGTGATGGTTTCAGAAAAGAGCAGAGGAGGGTGCAGCAGGACAATGCGTTCAGTTCTGATTTTCTGCATCATGGACCTTCCATATCCATATCCATTAGATATCGTCCCACATTGCGTCAGTGTGCCCTTTCTATATACACCCTTTGTGGCACCTCTCTTTCTCTCTCTCTCTCTCACATAACGAGTGTATCTTGTTATTGTGTCTGTATTGGTAAAATATAAATTAATTTTATTATTTTTTAACTTGTATATCTGCTAAAACCATCTCACAGTGAATTCCCAAACACATGCCATTTTATTCTTTTCAGAAAACTTAGAAACGTTGCCACCTCTAGTTAACAGTATCTAACATCCAAATGCCTGGGGGCGGGGTGACAAGCCTGACGACTCTCACACTGCCGCCCCTCTCCATTTGCACGGATTATTACGAAAGAGAGGAGGAGGGACTTGTTGCCCCAGGAATCTCCTACTCCATGTCCTTGGAATGATGTAAAGACAAGGAAAGTTACACTCGTCCATTTCTCCAAGTGCTGTTCTGAAGCAGAATAAGAGACACAGGAAGAGGGTGTCAGGGGCCTTGCCTCGAAATTCAGAACATTTGGTAGCATTTGTTGAGAGTAAACAGGTCAGCCAAGTTAAGAGGATAAAGTGTCAAAAACAATGTTTGTTGAGCTGGACAAGTGATGACTTAAACTTGTGTTTACTCTTTCC